GCAATGGGATCAGATTAACCGAGCAGTGCAGTTCGCAGTGAAGGTTTCTTGTGAATCTGAAGCGGTAGCCCGTTCGAGGCATGAGATATCTGATGAGTCAGAGGCACTAATGGAGAAAAAGCGACAAATCCCGACCGCCCGGGATCAAGGCAGGGTTAGGTGGCGTCTACAACGTCAACTCAAGAAGAGCCTCAAGAAAGATCGTGAGAACTGGTGGGCAACGGTAGCTACTGAAACGGAAGTAGCGGCTGCATCAGGGAATAGTCAAAGACTGTTCTAACTGATACGCAACACATGAGGTCGGCGAACCACAGTTATTGAAACAATCTCCGGCAAAAGTGGACAAGCTATTTACAATAAGGAACAACTACTTGACCGGCGGGCGGAGTACTTCAGCGAACAGTTCTACTGGTCCAGCGCTAACCGGACTATATCGCTGAGGCTCCTTGGACCGTTTCATGTGAACCTCATACTCAATCAGAGGGATGAACTTGCACCCAGACGCTGAAGAAAGGAAGAGCAGCAGGACCGAACGGGCTTCCTCCCACTCTTTTCAAGATGAGAGTCGATGGCCTTGTTGACTCTACTATCGATTTCATGCGCAAAATCTGGTCACACGAGTGCATCCCGTCAACCCAGAGCGAATCGGTGATTGTTCCAGTTTTTAGGAAGGGCTCTCGCAACGATTGCGCGAACCACTATGGAATAAGTTTGATCCCAAACGTATTAGCCTTCTTCATACTTTGACGTCTAGCACTGTTTAAGGAGACAAGGATCCGCGAACAACGAGTAGGATTTCGACCAGGTCACCGTTGTATCCATCAAATCTTCACGCTGCATCAAATCCTCGAGCTACGCCATACACACCGACCAACGGTTGTCGTGTTACTTGATCTCAAAGGAGCCTTCGACTCAGTTGACTGCACATCCTTTCTGGGTTCGCTCTTCCGCAATTAAATGCCGCACAAGTATATATTGGATTGTATTTGAAGCTTTAACGAGTTATATAAAAGCTTTCAGCCATAAAATAGAATTTATTGAGTTCACTCTACTCGCATAATTCTGGTAGCGTAAGGGTCTACGGCGATCTGAATAAGTCGTTCTTAACTAGCAGTGTTGTTCGTAGAGAGTGTCCCATTTAGCTATTCCTGTTCAATCTCATCATAGACAGAATTCTGAAAAACACTAAGCGGCCTCCAAAATGTAGGTATTGAATGGGCAGCTGGAAAAAAGCTGTGCGACCTAGAATATACTGACGACATCGTCTGTCTATTCGTATCTAGGACTAATCGCAAAGCACTCTTGACAGACTAGCAAGTTCTGCCTCCGTTCGGCATGCGCTTTAAACATTCAAAGTGCAACGTGATGCTGCAAGACTGGGTGTCGCCGAGTTCCGTTTTCTGAAACCAGACGGTCAGAATTTAGCTGAAGTTGACTGCTTCTCGTATTTAGGTAGCTGCGTGACCAACGACGGTGGCGCATCAAAGGAGATAACCACCCGCATTTCAAAGGCTCGTGCAGTGTACACAGGACTTAAACACCTGTGGCGGTGACGTGGCGTTTCACTAAAGTTGAAAAGTGGCAAATACTGCGCCACTGTACGACCAGTCCTGCTCTACGGTTGTGAGACCTTGAATTTGCGGATGTAAGGCATCCATCGCCTCATTTTCGACAGTCGATGCTTACGTAGTCTGGTCCGGGATGAATGGAGTGAGCGAGTTAGTAACCTACAAGTAAGTCGTCGGCTTTTTGGGAATACATTGAACATGAGCTATTGCATGGGCTCCGATGTTTAGGACACGTTCTGCATATGTCGAGAGCTCGCCTACCGCTCCTCGCCTTATTCGCAGTGACTGCTGCAAACTGAAGAAAACCACGTGGAGACGAGGCGTGAAAAAATACACAGAGTGGTTGGGTAGAGTAGATGTCTTCCGGGTTGGGGTCCAAAAGACTCCCTACCGGATGGTTAGAGACACTGAAGGTCATGGCAGCAAATAGACAGCGGCGGCGAGCTTCCTGCCACTCCTTATCAGACCACAATGCTTGAAAACGTGTATATGCACCGCTGGACTATGGATTCCGTGTGTTGGCTATCGAGGTTTGCCCTCTTCCGGCCCCTAAAAATAGGCCCAATCGCCATCCTCCTTACACATTCTCACTTACCATTATGATTTTGTCAGCGACCGGTAAAGTTCGCTTCACTGTTTTACGTTGTACAATGATATATATATATATATATGCATATACCGATGCATCAGTATTTATGAGACCACCCAGTAGTCAAAGTTTTATTATGGGAAATACTTACAAGCGGTTGCTTTTCTAGTCCCATAGGATTTAGCACAGATGAATCGGTTCACATTACATACAAAGTAGATGAATGTCACAATGTCACAATTTGTCCTTGTTTCGTGCACTTCTACGGATGTTGAAATTTAAGACTTTTCAAAGCTTCATCCAGATTGTGCTTGAATGAATCAATTGTGGGTGCAGAGACAACGTGTGGTGATAGAGAATTCCAAGTAATGCACACTCTGAGGGCGAATGAATGCCGCCGGCATTCTAGTCGGCATTTTTGGCGCGCTAATTTGAAT